AATGTTAATGGCATTAATGATGATTTAATAGTGACAGTAACAACAACAACAGCAATGATGATGATGAGGGAGAGATAATAATAATAATAATAATAATAATAATAATAATAATGATAATAATAATAATATTGTTATTGTTATCATCGTCACAATTATCGGTAATGGTAATGATGATATTAATGACATGAATAGGACCATTATCAACTATGATAACAAAAATACTCGTAATTTTTAGAAAATCATACCAGTGAGACCAACAAAAAAATATAACTGATATGATATGATGATAATTGTCATTGCTATAACCATTATAATTGATGTTACTAATACCATTATTACAATAATCCTCATCATTATTGTCATCATTTTCTCAGTAACATAATGAAATAACAGCATTACTACATTTGCATTTGTACGCAGGTGTTTCTTTGAGAGACAAAATCCAGGGCATATGACACAGCTGTCAAAATAGCATTAGTGTTGTTTCTATCTCGTCTCCTTGTTTTTGTTTATCTCGTCTCCTTGTTTTTGTTTATCTCGTCTCCTTATCTTTGTTTATCTCGTCTCCTTTTTTGTTTTTTGTTTTCATTTTTGTTTCTCCTTATTTTCTACCTCGTCTCCTTATTTTCTATCTCGTCTCCTTCTCTTTCTCCTTATTAAATCCGATGCATATGACACAGCTGTCAAAATAGCATTAGAGTTCTTTCTATCTCGTCTCTATCTTTTTTTTCTGTTCATTGTGTTCACGTAAGAGCTGTCACGCCTGGCGGCAGAGTGCGTAACGTTGGGGTCATAAAATAACCGTAACACTTCGTAACTTCCTTGACATTTGTATGGTCAGTGACGGTCAGTGACGGAGGTATGTATGGGGCGGGGGGAGAGGGGGGAGGAGATAGGGGAAGGGATAGGGGTGCGAGGAGAGGGGGGGAGGGGATAAGGGCAGGGGGAGAGGTGGGGGAGAGGGGGGGGATAGGGGCGGGGGGGAGAGGTGGGGGAGGGGTGGGGGGAGAGGGGGGGGAGGAGATAGGGGTGGGGAGAGAGGTGGGGGATAGGATAGGGGCGGGGGGAGGGGTGGTAAAAGGTGGGGGTGGGGTGGGGGGGAGGAGTGAAAGGGATAGAGAGGAAGGAGGGGAGGGAGGAGAGGAGGGGTGGAGGGAGGGAGAGAGAAGGGGAAGAAGGAATAAAAGAGGAAAGGGAAATAGGGAGAGAAAAATAATGAGTGGGAGGGAGGATTAAAGGAGATGAGAGAGGAAAAGGAGGGAGAAAGAGAAAAAGAGACAGAAGGAAAAGAATAAAGATTAGAAAAGAGAAGTATAAGAAAAGAGACTGAAGTACAGAAGATGGGGGAGGAGTAGGGAAAAGGAAGAGAGACCGAGTAAATAATAATAAAAAGTTGACCGCAAGTAAAGCAAAAACAAACAAACAAACAAACATAAAAAACAAGAAAAAAGAAAAAGAAAAAAAAAGTAAGATTAGAACCGAGACTGATTTATGACGATAACAAAAAAAAAAAAAAAACAAAAAAAAAAGGAACTGGTGCATATACGTCAATACATATGTTCTCTAAACACCTTGTTAAAAATAAAGCAATGATATCCAAAGTGAAGAATCTTACGGAAACGAGCAAGGATAGAATCATTTTATTATTGTTGTTACCGACAAATCCTACTTCAAAAGGAGGCAGCAGAAAGAAAGAGGAGGAAAGGGAAGAAGACAAAGATGAAAAATCAAAGAAACGACGAAAATGTAGATGAATATGACTATGAAGAAGAAAAAGAAAATAAGATAAAAACAATAAAAAAAAAACGATAATGAAGACACATACAAGAAAAGGAAAACAGATAATAATAATAACCACAAAAAAATAATGCGATACTGACGAAGAAGAGAAGAAACCTAAGAATAAAAGAGAAAAGCAATAAACTTTTCACTTCCATCGTATATACATGTTCAGCCGAGTCTTAAGTACATGAAAAGTGCAAGCGGTCGTAAAAATTCTATGGCCGCAGTGAGGAAAGAGACGAGCCGGAATTGCCCGCGGGAATGAAAGGCTAAGAGAGGAATGGAGGAAGAGGAAGGGAGGGAGGGAGGGAGAGAGAGAGAGAGAGAGAGAGAGAGAGAGAGAGAGAGAGAGAGAGAGAGAGAGAGAGAGAGAGAGAGAGAGAGAGAGAGAGAGAGAGAGAGAAATATGTATAAGCACATTGCATAAAATGCTTGTTTACGTGAAATGCATCCTCAGTATCTGAGAGGGAAAGAGAGAGGGAGTGAGAGAGAGAGAAAAAAAAAAGAGAGAGAAAGAGTGAGTGAGTGAGTGAGTGAGTGAGAGAGAGAAAGAGAGAGAGAAAGAGTGAGTGAGTGAGTGAGAGAGAGAGAGAGAGAGAGAGAGAGAAGAGAGAGAGAAAGAGTGAGTGAATGAGTGAGTGAGTGAGTGAGAGAAAGAGAGAGAGAGAAGAGAGAGAGAGAGAGAGAGAGAGAGAGAGAGAGAGAGAGAGAGATGGAG